TTATTTTGCTCAGATGTATTAGGTTCAGTGTTATCTTCAAGTTTATTCATCATAGATTGGTTTTGCTCAGATGTTTTAAGAGCATTGATATCTTGAGGTTTATCAAATATAAATTTATTTTGCTCGGATTTCATAAGTTCAGTCTTATTTCTAATTGCATTATTAATGAATTGGTCATATGCTGATTTATCATAATCATGGTCAACATGAATGTTGGCAAATATAGATGTTTTCTGCTCAGCCATATTAGTTTTGCTTAAATTTTTAAGCAGTGTTACTATTTTTGACTTATTTTTCTTCAGGTATTACAGTTTAAATAGATTCATTAAATTTGATTATCTTCTCTGCCATTAATATTCATATTATTTAATGAAACCATTTATATTAATTTTACTTTTTCTCTTGAAAAATCATTGCTTTTTTTCAATGTTCTGTCTACCTCTTTACATTTGATAATGTATTAATTTATATTTTACTGATATCAATATAACCTGAAAAATATTTTCAATTAATGAAATGTTTGATAAATATTTTATTTAAGTAAAATAAAAATACCTTAACTTTTAATTTTGATAATTTGAATAAGTATTCAATATTTCAAATATCAATACTTCCTTATTTATTATATTTAATATTTAATTAATATATTTTAAGGTTAAAATTTCAAAACTGATGACTTTTTAATTAAGTATCATATATAATAGAATGAAAAAATTAGATATACAATTCAAGGACCTAATATTTTTTTGTAGGTTGGAGACTATAATTTAGTTATTTTCAAAATTAATGTTTTACCGCATTAACTGCCACGAGACCGCTGGCTGCCTCAAAATGAAAAGTATATTTACATGATTTTTAGGCAGCCGGCAGCCACAATGTACTATTTCGTTAGAGCCATGCAATAGCAGGCTGCTGTAAAACCAATATATTTTTTGCTCATTTGTTTCATATATAGTTAGGCCTTTGAAATTGCACTACGACATAGAAGTCAAAATTTACGATAGGTTAGTTATATTATTTATACTTTTACAACAATTCAAGCATATTATTTATTGTAATATAATATTTAATTTAATATAATATTTTTACAATACATTTGTATTGTTTAATCAATTTTTTTATAAATTACATAACATTTATTAAAATAGAAATTACAATTTCTTGAAATTATTATTTTGACTCTTTGAGTAACTAAACATTAAAAAAAAAAAAAAAATTTTACTTTTATAATTCATGTGTTTGTCATATCTTCTTTACTATTTATAATAATTTCCTTACAAAATAATTAACTAAAATTTGAATTTTCTTTGGACAAGTAATTTAAAAAAATTGTTAATTCAGAAATAAGATAAAAATTGATTGCAGTTTTCACTTGTATATTACGGCAACTGGCTGCTGTAGTAGCATTTGCGATAACAAATATTATCTAGACGCCATTAGGTCGTCAACGGTCTTATTTATTTATACTTTATTAAAAAATATATGAAAAAAATCTAATGTTGAAATCATATTTTCGGACCAAAATTTTTCAAGATAATGCTTAATGCATTTCATGAATGTCACGATGAAACTCCTGGTATTATTTTGAAAAAATCATTAAATAAGGCCACCATGAGAAAATTGCTTACATAAAGGGTCTATGTTATTCTCTTTGTCTCTAATTTATTTGAATTATATATCTAAAAACAACATTTTACATTTAAATTATTTGAAAAATAAGTGTTTTTTTTTAATTTTTAGGCAATGTTATAACATAAATAGGTTAAAAATGTTTCAATATCTGACCAGACATATTAATTAAACCAATTATATTATAAAATAAATTTACATTTACGGCCCGATGAAATTACATATAATAATGCTAACTATTTATACATATGTTTACAAAATAATTGATAGTGTAACAATATTGCAGTAGAGAGGTTAATTTCAACTTGCAAGACAAAATAAAATTGACCAATTGTCAATATAAATAAATAAACAGGTATTAGTACTAATAATAATTTTAAATTGCACAACTATTTCCATTAAAAGTGAGCACAAGTTAACAACTATAGGTTTTTTGAAAAATTATCATATATATATATATATATATATATATATATATATTACCGGAAAAGATGACAATCAGTCAGTGTTGACAATGATTAGGACGTAGGTAAATTGAGTCCCAAACGAATTTATCTTTTTTCGAAATAGGTAAACTGAGTCCCAATATTAATATTGAAATTGGTAAACTGAGCCCCACATATAAAATATAAGGAAGTAAACTGAGTCCCTCATATAACAGTTAAAGCAGCAAATTGAGTTTTATCTAAAATATTTAATGTATTAAATTTATTTAAATGTATTTAATTATAAATATCATCGTTGATATAGTTATAAATTCACCGAGTACTATAGGTAAATGTATCTTATTGTTACATCGTTAAATATTATTATATTTCGCTCCATATTATTATATTACGCGACATTTATATAAATACCCAACTATCTACAACAACGCTGGATGTGATATGTGATAATTGATAAATGTAAGTTTAATGTATGTAGTTTATAATTGTGTTAATATAATTAAAAGTGTGGTAAATAAAAAAAAACAGTATTTCACCATATTTCAAATTACCGCTCTAATTTTTATTCAAGGGACTCAATTCACTGATTTAATTTTTATATGAAGGACTCAGTTTACCTAAAATTAATAAAATGGGACTCAATTTACCAAACCTGAATGACTAGTCAATAACGATAATACCTGATTTAGCAAGGAATTAATATCAATACCTAATCATTGATGACAATTCCTATAATAAAATTATACAATTCCTAATAAAAGAAGGCATCGATGATAACATTAAAAATGAATTTGATATATTTTAATACTTATTAGCTATTTAGGATAAATCATAATCTTAATCTTTATTGTTACATGGTAAACTATTATGACACTTGGAATTATATAATGTTATACAGTGGTTCCCAAACTGCGCTCCGGGAAACCCTTGGTGCTCTGCAATGGCTTGCCTAGGACTCCGTTCATAATACCACAAAAAATTTAAAAAAATGTTCGTTATTTAAAATTAATATATATTTCATGAAAACTTGAATATTCCATAATCAGATTGATGACCAATAAAGCGATGTCGATATTTGTTTGGATGTGGATTTAAAACATTACCTAATCTTTCCAGTTATTGTCAACAATGACTAGGATATACCAACAATTCCTGAATTTTCATCTTTTCCGGTAACATATATATTATAAAATATTTTTAACCGTTCAAAAAATCTATAGTTGTTAACTAGTACTCAATTTTAATGAAAATAAGTGTGCAATGTAAAACTATTATTAGTACTAATACCTGTTTATTTATTTATTTATTTAGTAGAACATAGACATTAACGAAAAGATATGCATACGAAAGACATGCATAAAGACTATATGTTCTACTGTATAAATGAACGAGTGCAATTACAACAACAATATAAAAATATACTCAATAGCATGTTCAAGATTCTGATAAAAAAAAGTGAACGTTGTGCCATTGACGAAAAGTACAGACGACCCAGTACAGCAACACTACACTGTTACGAACAAGTCCTGTCCTGAAACGACGTAATAAGAAACCGGAAAAATTAAAGAAAATGGAAACGGGTCGACGGTTCGGACGTGTTCATTTTGGAAAGGGAACATCGAACGCGATGGTCCGTGCTGCGTGATTGCACGCGAACGCGTATACGTTTTGCCGAATGAACGGCGACTACGTACCTGTTGAACGCGGCCGCGGAAAACGACGTCGCCGCGTTGCCAACGGCTAGGAGGACCATGAGAACAGTAGCGTGACGGCCAATGATACGTGAGTGCCGCAGCGGTCCGAGCGAATCTAGCAAACGTCCGAGTATCCGTAACTTCTTGGTTTGGAGCGAATGCGAGCCATAACCGCAAAAATCGTTCGCCCGATAAATGCAGTGATAACGCACCGCGATCGTGAGCAGTCAAGGAGCGTCGAGACACACCGCGGAATTGATAACTCACGTTTCGGCCGTGGAGGTCGACCACGTGGAGGTATACTAGCGAGTGAAGAGAAAAAACCGACGGTGTCAACGCGATTCCGGGCGTTTCGATATATATTAAGATATGTATTAAGATATACAGGTATATAAGTATATATACAAGGACGTATTTAGGGGGGAGTCAAGCGGGTACCATCGCCCCGGGCGACACATTTTTTTGGAATTAAAGGTAGCAGCATTTTTTTGTAACCCTAATCCATCATCTATTTTCATTCGTCAATCAAAAAATTTTAAGATTTTTAGATTTTGCAAAGTGACCTATGGCGATTTTTATTTTCATGATAATATTATCAAAAGTTGATCGCGTAAAGTTCATAGATAATTAATATTACCTTTCTTGAAAATCGTATAAAATATGCGTAGGGGTGGCAATAAAACTATACCTGGGGCGTCAAAACTCTAAATACGTCTCTGTATATATATATATAGGTTTATCTTAAACCGTGTATAACACCAATGTAACACAACATCAGCAAAAAGTCGTGAAACAAATATGATTGTCGAACGTTTTTCACCGTACCGTTTTAACGATAAGTATTACTGTAGCGTTGTATATAGACATAGGCGGTTTAACATTTTTCAGTTAGTGATTCAAGCGTAGTTAATACCATCCATCCACCTACCAAAAAGTTATTTTAGGTACAAAAACTTAACTAATTTTTATTAAATTATCAATTTTAAATTACCGAGCACTGCCGGATGCCAAGACCAAGTACTCGCTGTGACTGGTGACTGTTGCCGGTAAAATAAGTTTTGCCCAGGGCCTCGCAAAAGGTAACGCCGACCCTGATATTCGTCCGAAATATTTGGACTCAATCAGTTCTTGTACTAACTCGACTAAATAAAATACCCTCATCGTGTATAAATAAATCGTGTTAAATCCACTTAGCATTCAATAAAATTCGTCTTTGATTAAAACTTTGAAGTCCATGATTCCGAATAAAGAGATTTATTCGAATCTAATATTATTAGACCTTCACCGCGTTCTGAAAATATAATATTTATTTTGCTTTTCCATAACGCAAAATACGTAGCGAAAATATTGATGTTTGTACTATGTCTAACATCCAACCACAGAATATATGAAACCAAAATGGTCACTTAGGCCGCCCCATAGAGTAATATTACTCTATGGGCCGCCCGAAAAACAGTCCACCATATTTAATAGGTATATGAATATATTATATTATAACCAGGTTAATCACATATTCAATATTAACTATGATTAATAATTAACAAGTTTTCTTAATTGTTTACTTGCACCTCAGTGTTTATTAATAAAGTTTCAATTCTTGCAATGGAGTTTTTTGTTAATAAACGGAACAAACAGTATTCAAAATGTTGCTTGACCAATTGTAAAAGAAATATTTTGAACAAGGATTCTTTTAGTTTTTTTATTTTCCAAAAGAACCGGCTAAGTCATATAAGTCATATTTTTGTTAATATATACTATAATTTTATATTTGTTCTCGTTTTGAATAGAAAAATGTATTAAGCATTAATAGTTCATTAATACGCTTCATTCAGCTCAATCAAACTATAGTTCCTTACATATCTTAATATGTCTTGTTATTAATTGTTATAAATTATATATTTATATATTTATAAATTATTGTTGTTTATAAAAAATATTATAGATGTGCTGTTTGGATTGAAAGTTACAAGTTTAATCAACTGAATACAATTAACCAATACCTACGAAAGAAGAACAAACGATGAATTACAGAAATTGTACAAAAGACCAAATATCTTAACGTTTATTAGAAACAAACGACTAGAGTGGTTTGGACACACTTGGAGAGCAGATGGACAACTAATAAAAAAAGTACTTGTTGAAAAAATTAACAAAACAAGGCCCCTAGGAAGACCAAGAACCCAGTGGATAGATGTGATATCCAGAGACTTGAAAGAGATAGGCCAAAATGTAACTTTTGAGCTGACATACAACAGGGATAGATGGCGAGACCTCTTGAAGGCAGCAATGGTCCTCAACGGACCGGTAAGCTGAGAAGAAGAAGAAGAAGAATACAATTGACAATTTGGCTGCTAACACTACGTATACTTAGTATATCGATATATCGTGTTTGTTCTTTACATTTTGAAACTGATATGTTTTCTTATTTTTAGATTTTCATATATTCTGTGATCCAACCATTATTGATTCATATATTTAAAGTCAAAGTTAGTTTATATAGTCTCTAATGATATTCAAAAGTTGAGTTTCCTATTTTTTGGAAATTGCTGATCGCAATTGACCGTTTGATAATAAATGGCAAGGTTAGAGAAAAATTTCATTTTTTCAACGTTCTCAATCGTAAAACTAAAATAGTCGTTCTCAATCGTTCGATAGCCATTAAAATACTTTATGAAGATATTATTCCCTAAGTATTTGGAATATTTCACAAAAAGTATAATAAAACTACTTACCTAAACTATTAAGTGTAGAAAAAATGTTATCAGAAACTCCTAACTGTTGTTGGACGTATCATCGAAGTTTATGAATATAAGTCCGTGTAACTTTATTAACGTTCATTAACTGAACTATAATTAAATATCAACGTTATTACAACGTTGTGTGTATTTTTTTACCTTTTAAACATGAATTATTGTTTACATATTTTAGAGGCCCAGAGTAAGTGTTAGTTTAAGTATATTAGTAGTTATTAGTTATTTTCAGTTTATATATATATATAAACAGTGTATCAGAAAGAGCTGGTCGATATAGTTTAATTAACTATGTTATAACTTTTATTCTTTTATGTTTTTAAGTATTTTTATCTATTATTTAGATATTATATGATTTTTTGTTAATTTTATACTTAAAATAAAAAATGTAATTTTGGAAAAGCACAAGTTAGCACATATTTTGGTTATACATTGGGCAGTTTTTTCAATTACACCTTGTATACAAATATAAAAATATTAATAAATGTAAAAGTATTATAACTTTATAAAATGCAAATACAGTATTAAATGCCAACTATGTCAGTACTAATTGTGAATATTATTCTTCATTATTTAGTTTTATAAAAAAAAATATACCTACTTACCAAACTTAGTATTTAAATTATCGCAATATTACAATTTAAATTGAAATATTTTATAATTAATATATATATATATATAGTGTGTAAACGCTGACACCACTCAATATCTTTGCGTAGAGACTTGAAATTTGAATTCTAATTTTTTATTGGTTTTTATGACATAAAATATGTATTTTCACGAGTTTTTAATTTTTTTAAGTTAAATAGACACGCGCATGCGCAGTACAACTTTTTTTCTTAAATGGTAACCACCTATTTTAACCACTAATTATTTTTTGCCTATTTTTTTTTTAATGAATTTTGGTACTTGAACCAACTTTTTAAGTCTAAAATTGACCAAGTTACAGCAATTTAACCAAAAGACTGTAAAATGCGTGCGATTTTAAATTTTTTTGATTGTAATTACAATGTTAACTCTGAAAATAATTATTCTAGAATTGTTAAGGCTTGATATTTTCACTTTTATTTACTAAAGTGATATTTACACGTTATTATAATTTTATCTACTGCTTAATTTTCACTTTAATTTGGGTATGTATTATAACTTATAGCAGAAAAAACGTAAATAAGAAGGCATGTTATTTATTTCGTGACATTTAATGGATCTATTGGAATTTATCACTAATTAGCAATAAGTTTAATTTTTATTCAAGTTACAAGTTTATTTAATTATTTATTGATTAATTTAATGTATAAATTTTTCAAATTATTGTCCTTCGTGAACATAACATGATTCAGCGCACCGCATAAATTTTTTATTTGTTGCAGCAATAATTTCTTCGTCAGTTGATTGCAATGATATTTATAATATTTTAAATTGGAATAGAAACGTAATCTAATACTTATCGTATTTTATCAAGCACTATAAAACTAAACATTAGGCACCTCCCTTAAAGTAAACGCTTATCTTTAACACAATTTGATACAAAATTAAATACGATGAAATAAACATGAAATGTTTATTTACATAAACTGATAATTTCGATATTTTTCATCGTCCAAACACGTGTGTTATTCCGTGATTAATATGAATTCATATGTAAATATTCATACGTATATGTTAAAATAGGTGGTTGCCATTTAAGAAAAAAAAGTTGTACTGCTCATGCGCGAGTCTATTTAAGTTAAAAAAATTAAAACTCGAAAAAATACACATTTTTATGTTATAAGAACCAACAAAAAATCGGAGTTCAAATTTCAAGTCTCTACGCAAAGATATTGAGTGTTCTCAGTTAGCGTTTACACACTGTATATATATATATATATATATATATATGTTACGGTAAAATATAAATATTGGTGAATGTCGTCATTCTCCGGTGAATGACGTCTTTTACCAAAATGATTTGATTATGTAGGTAAATGATGTAAAAAACCAGATTTTAAATTCAAATGTACATCTTTCACCGGGCATTGATGTAATTTACCAAAACTAGTGGTAAATGATGATAAATCTCAAATAATACACTGATTTTTTTACTATAGGTACTATTTATAATAATGATTTATTGTTAAAATAAAAAAATAATAAAATAATAAAATACGTGCATATTAAAAATTATTTATTTGTACAATTTTGGTTACTATGAAATTTTGAACTGCACAACATTTCCACTGCATTGCAAGCACATTTTTTAGTACCACAACCAGTTTTGCAGTTGCATCGATTAAATCCTTGATGACCAGCTATTCCATGTTCTGCTGCTTCTCTTAATGTTATTTCCCTGTCTTTAATTTTTTTCATGGCTTCATCTAGCTCTAGAAATTTTTCTTTACATGGAGAAATTTATGCTCGTGTATATTTGTGTTTCAACGCCCCATATTCTGTAATTTTTGTCACAAATTTTTACAAATAATATTATAAAACACACATTCGTAGCAAATACAACTCGCTATAATATACCCGTCGATACTAACTAATAAACTAAAAGATTATCTCACATTATTACTCGGGTTATTGACGTTATTGCTAGTTGGGATTTTCGTTTATAAAAGTATTAAACATCATTCTCCAATTAAACTGGTGATTGACGACAATAACCGGAGAATGTCTGCATTTACAACGTTTACCAATTTTTAAGTAAATGATGTCATTTACCGGGGAATGACGTCTTTTACCACGTTTACATCATTCACCGTAACATATATATATATATAAATGTATGCTATCAATTATATTATTCTGTTCATTCATAAATATCGAATTGAAAAATTAAATTATTTAATACAATTTGAATTATTACTAATGAATTATACTAAAAATAATATATATTTGTTCTAAATATATTTGAAATACTTTTTGTGAAAATAGTTGGGAAATACTATAATCATTAAGTATTCGAATAGATATTTTGAATACTTTTTTCTTAAGTACTCGGAAAATGTTTTCGGAATATTTTTTAAAAGTATTTTACCCAAGTATTGTGAGTCTACCATTTAAAAAGTTTTATTTTACATTTGATGCATCTGTATTATAGAACATGTTTTGTTTACTATTGATAATTATTTATTATTATTTAGTGATAACGTCCGGAAGAATAAGATTACAGTTAAATTATAGATGGATAACGAGTGTACGAGCCTCAAAGTAATAAGTATACTATTACGAGCATACTATTATAATTGATTTATATTGCCGTGAGTCGTATAGTATTATTGTTACATAAGATATAATAATATTACGGTAATAAAAAAAAAAACCAATGGGATTATTGATTGTCCGAACAATAGCCGAAATATGACCTTTAGACGGGTTTTTGCGTGAACACGTTTTACCGGTAACACACACGCACAAATTGTATACATCGCATGTTACATCGCAAGTCATAAAACAAAGTAGTAGGTACTTCATTATGATAAATCATCAAAATTACGTTTACTATCATTTGTTATTTACCACTTAAATTTTATTTCATATCACACTATACGTGAAGGCCGTGGATCGCTGTTTATCTCATTCGATTTCTAACCTAATGAAATTAGTTTTTGGAATGCATGCAAGCAAACAGATAATATTCCGATCTGTTATAACATAAGTTTTATTATTTTCAATTAAATGTAAATTGATTCATTGAGTGTGTTCGGAGCCAATACGTCACTCGAATATCGGTTACGATGAACGACCGGTCGTCAATAATTCGTGTTATTGTTATGTTTTCAATTTTTGTTTTATCATTAATCAACTGCAGTCTGCAGTTGGAACCAAAGAAGCAACCTCATATCATTATCATCGTCGGTGATGATTTGGTTAGTATATATATATATATATATATATATAATATAATAATAATAATAATTCTATATTCTACAACAATAACAATATCTATACGTTGAACCGGATTCCCCCGACTCGTGTTGTTGACGAATATTCGATATTCGTTAATCGCCACATTTCCACGGATTGTCGTTAAAGTGCATCGAAGGATATATCATTACCAAAATAGATATTCGTCGATACATTAACACGAAGCGGTGACTGTTTTCCATTTGGTCCAACTATCAGCTATCATAGTATCAAGACAATATTTGGGTCCCACGGCGCGACTCTAAATTCGGCATTCATTACCGGAACCACTCCGAATCTGCTTCTCGCCAGAATCAGTTGTGTGTCATTATTATATTTTTATATTAAATCTTGTAAAATGAATAATCAAGAAGAAATTGCGAATGCATAATATATTATGGTGAAATGCTATCCCACGAATCATGCACGGCACTCTGAACTTTGTGTCGTGAACTTTTATGATTCCGGGTACAAGGTTCTTGTTCATAGAGCTGAAGGAACTCCAAAATAAGTTCGTTAGACCACTCCAAATTTTTGTATAAATTATTTAAAAAATAAAATAAAAATACTAAACGTTTTTTATTCACACGAAATGTACACGATCCGCGTACGTCGTAGTGGGAACATTTTGGAACGGTGTGACGAGCCGAGCAACGAGCGTGACTGGTCTCCTTTGGCTCGGGTACCAAAAATCGACTAATCTCGGGAGGACACGCGTCACGATGCGTTTGCCGTACCTGAGCTATACCCCGAGCCGCGAACCGTGGGATCTCAGCTTTATTGTAAATGGTAAATCTAGCGGTCACTGTCACGTCACGATCGCGGTGAAATACAATCGCATTGGTGAGTTGATGGCTTGTTGGAATGGTCTGCCGTGTCATTATTGATGTCGTTTGACGATTATGTTCTCCGATATTCGCGGATGTTTGTCAAACGCGTCGCCGAATAGATTTGGCACCGTGCTTTTCCTAACAGTAATCGGTGCCTGCGCATTTCATGTAAATAATTGTAATACCAACAGTAATGTCAATATAGGGCTGGAATGACGTTGGTTACCACGGTTCTGTTCAAATACCCACGCCAAATATCGATGCATTAGCATACAATGGTGTGATATTGAATCGCCATTACGTCCTGCCCACTTGTACTCCGTCAAGGGCTGCTTTGCTCACCGGAAAATACCCAATTCGTTATGGTAAGCCTTTCATATAAAACCGTTTTTTATTTCCACTCGTCGCCGCCCGTTTCACATTAATTTTATATTTTCTTCGATCAACGGTCAACAGGATTCTATAAGTGTTTAAGTACCTACCTACTTAACTACCCAAAAAGTTGAGGCGAGTGTTGTTAGCAGTGTAAAAAGTTCTTACTCAATTCAATAAGGACATGTGTTAACATATTTTAACAATTAATACAATCAAGTCGAATAAATTGTTATCGAGACTTTCAATGTTCATGAAATCATATGCGCAGTTATAACTTAAGAATATTTTCAAAACATCCGTATCCATAAAATTTAAATTAATTATTTGTCGAATTTATCCGAGGAAATAATATTGACTCGATTTTCGTGGCATTTTAAATGATAGTTTACCTACTTATAGTTGTGTGCGAATGCTCAAAGTTACGATTGTTTAAAAAAAATTATTAGTTCATGTGGTTTTATAAGTTTCTACATAATTTGTTATTAATAATAATTTTTCAAATACTACAGAGAAGTTAATAGATTACCAAAATAATTCATAGCCGTTTCTTTGAATACTCGAATAAATCTGTACTATACTTATGTATAAAGACAAAGTTGGTTAGTTTGTTTATCTATAGTCAAAACATTATCCAAGAAAAACGATTCGGATAAAAACATAAAAATTATAGTGACGGTGAAAAAATAATTAAATACTTCATGTTCCATCTTGTTATGTTACAGAATGTTTCGTATAAAATCAATCGTGTATCGTAAATTGTATCTTCTAATTATTATTTTACCCGTATAAATTAAAAAAAAATCTAAATCCTCAACGTTTTTATAAAAATGTATTCAATAAAATTTATATTATTCCGGATTATTTAAATAAATAAATCTAGTTATAATATAATAAAAATAATTTGATGTTGGATTGTAATCACTAATTCAATACAAAATCACGTATATTGTCAAAATACATCCAAACAAATGTACCTATTTGGCATTTGCAATTGATCATTCAAAAATATTTTATTTTTGTATTGATTATAATAAATAAATATTATTATATGCATATTATGCATATAATAAAAATCAAAAATCGAAAAAGCAAAAAGAAACTTTATGGAGATATTGACATTAAACTAAATAAAACAGAAAATATAAAAAAAAAATGCATTGTTTCAATCATAATAATTATAATTAATTATAGCATTGTTCCGTATTAAATATAATGTATATTCAGTGCCTGTTTGATATATTTGAGAACCGGTGCAGAATTTTATGGGACCTCGAATATATTTATTTTATTTACTTTATTTATATATAATTTTATAAACTTAAGGTCTTTGGTACAATCTTGATTTTCGTTGATATTAACAATAAATAACACTTTTCCGGCGACAATATTATTATGAGATTATTTATAAATAAAATTGTATTCGTAATACACAGAGACGGCTTGATCATGCATTTTTTGGTTCACTGAACAACCAAAAAGTTTGGGGTGGATGTCATTTTAATGTAATTTTGCCATGATAATATACATGTGTTAATCATCCTGTAAATAATATCTTTAAAATTTAAAATTTAAATATGTAAATAAAAAAAAGGTTATCAAGTCAAGTGGTATGTGAACATTTTTCAAAATGTGTAAGGAAAACGCGGATATAAAAAGGTTGGAAACCACTGATCTAGAGCCTATGGTAGATTTGTTTTAAATTAACTTTTTAAATTAACTATTTATATTTGTGTCGTGTATTTTCAGTCTAATGAGAATTGTTTTATTTGAAAATGTGACACCTGTACAAATATTATAGCTTAGCTTAGACAATTTATTTTACCAACGAACAATTTAAAAAATATCTAAAAGACATGTGGTAATCATTTATAGTTCTTTTTATAAGACTTAATTTAGTGCACTGACATTTTTTTTATCCTACCATTTTAAAATTTGAAGTATGACATAATATAATATATAATATATTGTATATTATATACATTTATAATATATTTGATGATAATTACGAATTGTATTTTGCTGATTATTATCTGAATTATTATTTCTACCTTAAGGTTTTTTGAGATGACATTTTATAAGGTAGTGTTACATATTTAATCCTATTCTCCTTTCGCTATAATTTAATATATTATTTATAATAATTGATAAAATGTTATCCATTAATATGAATTGGAGTTCTCAACATATACGAGTACTATAATAGTTTTTTGTAATTGTTTTTTAGTAAAAATGTAATTAATTAAATATTTTAAACGAAGTTATTATAAATCGACCACCAAAAAACTATTAATATATTTTTTAATTTTATCAATCATATAAAGATCATAGCTAAGTGATTTTTTTTGTAGAGATGACATTATGCATAATAAATATTTAATAATGTATACATTAAACTTGTTTAGGTCTTCAAGGAACGCCTATAATTGCTGGTCAACCCTTAGCACTTCCATTGACTGAAATGATTTTACCTCAAGTAAGTATAAATATTGTTTGTTGTTTGTTTCTGATGTTTTTGAAGTAAATCAGAATCATTAATTTGTGAAATTAAAGTATTTGAAAAAACTAGGCTATTCAACCCATTTGGTGGGAAAATGGCATTTGGGTTCATATCAAAAAAATTTCCTTCCCACAAGAAGAGGATTTGATACCCATATGGGTTATTGGAATGGATACATCAGTTATAGAAATAGCACTCATAATGCGGTAAACATTTGAAAAACATTCACTTATAGTAACTAAAATTTCTTTTCGTAAATGTAATGCTTTGAACATTTATAATAAAGTATTCAATGACCGGCAAAGACGCTAGACGTGGGTTTAATAAGTCAGGGGATGAGATGGTCGATCGATATGCAACTGATGTTTTCACAGAAGAAGCTTTGAAGATTATTGAGTTGTCCAAGTACCAAGAAAATCCAATGTTTTTAATGTTGAGTCATTTAGCCGTCCATTCAGGAAATGCAGGTCCAAATTTATTGGAGGTTTCAAACAAAACATATAACGAAATAAGGTTCAATTATATTACAAATGAAAGTAGAAGAATGTATGCAGGTGAAATATTTTGAATCAACAAACAATATAGCTTATTAGTATTTACGTCTTATTATCAATTTATATCCGAATTATAACAAGTAATTTATCATTAAAACAATTACACGAATTTAGTTCAATAAGCCAAAACAATAAATATAAAATAATAAATTAAAGTTGACCACATTTATATTAAATCAACTTGATAAACTATTAAAAATTAAAACTGAGTTAATTTGTTAATTTTTAGAAAAGACAGATTCTATTGTATATATTGTAATTTTACATTTAATATTTATTACATATGTTCTATTTGTGAGAAATTATTTATTAGTAAGATTATTTTCTCATTTTTCATTTGCAATTTATTTTTTAACTGTTAGTACATCATACATTTTTTAATTTTTTTGATTTAATTTTAATTTTATTTGTGTGTATAACCTCTTTGTTCCAATTATAAAGTATGTTAAAATAGTATTTTGTATTGATTTCAGGAATGTTGACGTCATTGGACGATTCAGTTGGTAGTATAATTGAATCGTTGAATAAAAATGAAATGTTAGAAAACTCAATTATATTGTTTATGTCCGATAATGGTGCACCAAGTGAGGATCCGATATGGGGTCATGGAAATTTCGGATCCAATTGGCCTTTAAGAGGAGTACGTTTAAATATTTTATATTAGCATACAGTAATTGGTTCTAATTCAATGACTGTGGATTTCATTTTTCGGGCGATGACATTTGCTCCGAGAGAAGAAAACACCATCGACCTTTTTTTAATATCTAATCGAATTTTTTTATCGAAATAATAATACCCTAATCGCTGAAACTACTAAGAAAAAAGTTTTATTACTTTTTTCATCACTATTATTATTTTTTTTTTTTACATATATGAACTATAGATTGTATACAATCACTACAATAAGTTTATGTGACGAGAATAATATAAAACGAAAAGGATTAACTTAAGCAGCCACTCATTAGTGATTCTTGACCTTTTAATTAAATCTGAATTATTTTATTTTTTATAAAATTATAGATTTTGTTAAAGTTACTATAGAAAAGTAGTGACGCCGAATTAGTTTAAAAATGCTCAGATAGATTAGGTAAAATAATTGTATGCACTACCCACTATCTAAAAAAATTAGATGGGCAGCCATCTAACCTGTTCCTTGTGTTGTATTCGGTGCTATTCTAAAAAAGCATAATTATATATTAAAATTTGCGGAATTTCACGGTATAATTTCCTTTTTAATCTGTGGATAAGGTTTACTACTACTAACTGGAAGTAGGTGGTTCATAAGATCTTTTATGAATGGATTGGAATAAGTTTGACATCGTTTATGGAGACGTATGTAAAAGATGCGTACTTGTTTTATAGTTTTATAGTTTCCATATGAAAATTGTTATGGAAAGTTAATTTTTGAAACGTTTGGTGGAGCATTAGAAAATCGTCGAAGTGATATGTTTTGGTGTTCATTTTTTTTTTGTTCCCCTTTAATTTATATGTTCAGATCGGTTTGACTAGAGCTTAATAAATTAAGATTTTGATGTTTTTAGAGTTCTGCAGTTATTCCCAGTTAAAAAAAGTGCAAGAATATTTATATAAGCAATTGAAGTTAGTTCTTTAGCTTGTAACATATAAATAATAAACATTAATAAACATGTAATTAAAAATAAATGTGGTTTGTCTTATGAATTATTATTGATTGCAGACATAATTAAATGTATTATTTTACTATGTAACAAATTTAATATTTGAATGATCTTAAATATTTCTAAAATTAGAGTATTCAAACCGAAGTAAATAATTTTTATATATTATTCGTGAGTTATTATTCAAATTATCCCAGCATTCCTTTTATTCGTATAATTATTTTCTATGTGATTCTCGTCTTATAAACTTCATACTCGTTATATGGCTCACGTAAAATACTTATAATAAAGTTTTATAAATATTCTTGTCAATTATTATTGAAGTGACAAATTATTACACTAAGTATGATTGCTAAAGAACATTACAAATTAATGTATTTTCGGATTATTATAATTAAAGACCGGATTTATGTGCGTTTTAAATTATAAAATATGCATGCAAAAATGTACTAAAAAAAGTCAAAATATGCAAGAAAAAAATTTAAACATGCAAAATAAAATATCAATTTTTTTATTTGATTATAATTTAGCAGTGATAGGTAAATTATTTATTAATTTTATTAAAATTTTAAAAAATAAAAAGTAAGATGCAAATATGCAATACGGAAATGTAATTTGTTAAATTATAGAAGTTATAGAAATAACAAATTGAAAAAAAAACTAAATTATGTTTGTAAGAACATATAAGATGCAAATATTTGATCACCCATTTATAAATAATTATAGTTTATACTTACTGTAGAAGAATACCAAAAAAAATAAAAAAATTGCTTATTTTTAAATTTTGGTTGAAATAATATATTGTCAATAGACACTGTTTACGATGTTACTGCTAAATATTATATCAAATTAAAATGGAGATAACATACAAACTCATGTAATATTAAAAGATGAAAAATATCCATATAAAATTCTCCAAACTTGTTGTAAAAAAAGCAATATATGTGTACCCATATGGGGACGCTCAACGTTGATGGGTTAACTTGGTTATAACGTAATACTTACCAACAATTTTATAAATGTAACAGTGGTTGTAATAATGTACCTATTTATGTTGTTTCGGGTATTTTATCAACATGATTAGATAAAATAGGTAAAGCCACGTCTCCACTACAAAACTCATACAACCAAAAACTTACGGAAGATTAGTAACCTACACGTATTTTCATTAAGGTAATCCGTTTTCTTTTTACTCAACACTTTTTTAAATTGTTAGGTGTATATTTGTACGGTTATTTTATTAAAATATGCAAAAATATGCAGAACATGCACTAATGTCAGAATATACTAAAATATGCAGTATAAAATTTTGATATTTAATCAAGTAAATATTTGTGGACACTCATTGACTGCATGTTGAAATGTTGAAAATAGCAACATTCATTTTATGAAAAATCCGGTCTTTAATTATAATGTTAAGCATCTATTTTGGCTATTATAACATTTAAGTTAAAAAAAAAAAATAAATACAAAGTTTTTCAAAAAACGTCTAATTTCAATTTCATAAGAAAATATTTAGATTGAAAAATATTATGTAAAGATTATGTTTCTTTCAATTTTGTTTTATTTGAAATTATGTTTGTTATTAGGTTTACTTTAAAATATTTTTAAGCCAAAATTTTATTTAATATGATTGCTTAGAATATTCGAAATTTTAAGATGATTAAAATTGTTTTTAATATAAACTGATATTGAGGCAGAAATGCAGGGTTCTGGGACTAAGCCCCACAGACTTTTTAAGTAGATATAGTATATTCTATGCATTTTATATTTTAAATTTTACAAACATGTTTTTCTCTTTGATTATACGTTTTATTACAATAAATATAATTATTAATAATTACTATAAAAACTAAGTTGGATTACTGCTCATCTTCAGTATTATCTATAGAATTATTTTGAATATAAATTTCGTTGATAGTTATGTATAAACGTAAATTTTTTTTTAAAATAGGAAAAAGGATCAATACTTGATGGTGGAGTACGTGGAGTAGCCGCAATATGGAGTCCAGAGTTGAGCAAAAAACATCGTGTTTCTGAAAATTTGTTTCACATAACTGATTGGTTGCCTACTTTGTATACTGCTGCAGGTATTAAAAATTAAAAATAATAACCATTCTTTGTATAACAGTCTTGAAAATGTATGGGGTTTTAGTTTTGTCTTTTCTAAAAGCTTAATTTTCAGTTGAAAAACTAAACTTTTGTAGGATAAATTAATAAATACATTTTACAAATAATTAATTTATAGGTGGTAATGTTGAAGACTTGGGTCAAATTGACGGTGTCAATCAGTGGACAAGCTTAACAAATACTTCTGAACAAATGAGATCAAAGATTCTAATTAATATTAATGAGAAAATTGGAGAAGAAGCATTGATTTTTAAACAATGGAAAGTTGTAAAAAGTATACATTTTTTTAAATTATTTTTCGATACCTAGTATATATTAAGCCTCTACCCATTTTCCCGTTCCTATATATTTCATTCCTCAATAATTTATTATTTTTGTTTGAGCTAATATTAGTTAATATAATAATTAATAACAATATGATACAAAAATGTATTTAATTAAATTGTGTTATTGTTACTACATTTTGTACGGTTTGTTTCATTATTTTGTTCTATAAATAAATAGCTTTGACGACAGAAAAGTTTGAATAATTTAAAAAAAAGTACTTCGTTCAATTTATTTAAATGTACTAATTTGTTCTATAAAACATCATGGAATAAAAACTTTAGGATTTTACCATATCTTTTTAACATTTTCTATATTACAAATGTTAGTAATGCTTATAAACATTTTAATGGTATACCATTAATCTATACAAGGATAACGTGTTATTTAAACTTATGTGTTAAAATGAACTGTGCATTTTTTAATAATATGTAGAAGGATCTGCTTCGAAATATTTTAAGGAACTAAAATTGTTCACATTACTTATTGACAACAATGCGTATAATATAATTACAGGAAAATATTTGAGGAATGAGGGTCTTAGACTCTAAATCCTACTTTCATCAATATTCATTAATATTAGGAAGCTAAGCTAAGCTTTTAACACAAATTTAAAGTTACCGTTCTTAAAAATATAAAAAAAACTACTTACTTAAAATTGTTTTATAATATGTATTAAATACGTCCTTTTGTGACCGGATAAAAAAATGTTGAACACTGATAGTCCTTTTTCTTCTAAATCTTTTCGGACATTAATAAAATAGTACCTACAGTTGATTCGGTTTATTCAAATAAAAATATAGTTATACAATATAAATCTTACACAACCTTACACATAAACCTTAGAAATTTTAATTTCTTTATACTGTCAGTTAATAAAAAATGTATTTTCACAGTCTATAGTGTTAATTATTTATGATTTTAAATATAGTTTTTGAAGTAGCGTTACTGGACGCCCCCTTCATTCAAGCCGTCAAGCCCTGTACATTTTTGTTATTATTACTTATTGTATTATCTATACAGATTGTATATATTCGTTTTCTAAAATAAAAAAAATATATATATAGTTTATACTTGGATACATTTTATTTAAATGACGTACATCTAATTTAATTTGTTTTGTATAAATAGTGATGAATGTTGATTTTGAAGACCTATTCATTTTGCACTTTTTTTTATTAAACCATTGTGTTTTAAACCATATTTTTACAGGTAATCGCACAAGTGGTTTTTCTTATTTCCTCAGATATAGCGGCGATCCTGGTAACAAAGGGCCGGATTATAATATGTCCAACGTAGTAAATAGTCTTGCTGGGTCGCATCTATCGAAAATAAATTGCATGGTTTCCAAAAAAGACTGCACGGACGCGATGACCACGCGCAATTTGTTTTACAACGTTCGCTCACAAGCTACAATTATAAACAAGTGTACAGAACGCATTTCCCATTTGAACCCTAAAGATGAACACTACGAATGTTTTGATGGTTATTGTTTGTTCAATGTATATCAAGATCCTTGCGAGTATCGGAACGTGGGTATACAACACGAGGACATTTTGAACACAACAATATATATGCTGGATCGGTTCAGAAAGGAATTGGTAAAGCAAAGTTCACCGTCCATCGACTTAAACTCAGACCCTCATAACTATGACGGATATTGGGAAACATGGTTAGAACCTAAAAGTCAGCGGAATTTTGCGCATCAAAAGTAAAAGAAACCGTTGTTATGTTTTTACTTATTTCAATTGTTTTTTTCCCTTTATATTTTGAAATGTAATTCTGTTTTATGTGATTCACATTTATTTCAATACATTTTGAGTAAATGTCACCTGTTTTGCTGTATGATGTAACAAAGTCACTGCTATTATTTTTAAAGTCTATGTAAGCAATAAGTATGTTTCCGAAAATATAAATTTCAAGAGAACTGTTCTAAAATTAAAAAAACCTACTGACGTAATTTCCAATACGATTTAATAAAATACAAGTTTCTATTTTTATTCATTCAATATTTTATTGTGTGTTAATAATTTTATTGAAGTAGAATTATACGATGGTCTTGATGAGTGATTAAAATAAAGAAAAAACTATAAATTATTATTGCATTAACCATTATATTGTATATTTTATTTATTATAATATAATATAAACAACACATATTATGTGATATTCATACTACTTATTTAATTAGTCTAATTAATTTTTTTTCTCAGATCATTTTTAAAATATTTTTTTTAAAAATGTTTATTCTATTGTATATATTTTTGTTTTATTTTTTTACATATTTTTTTTTATACATTTATATAGTTAGTTGCGACTTAACATTTCACCAAGCACATTAATAAGTTTTATTTTATTCGAGTTTGTATACCATTTTAATCTAAATTCATCGTCTACAAATTTTTATAGCATTTTACTCGTATTATATAAAATATTAAAAATATAAATGTATGATACATTATTATGAGGTACAAAAAGTAACGGATTTAAAATATTTTCATCAACAAAGAGTTTCTTTTTTAATATTCATATCTTATAGCCTTACAAGTTAATCTTAAATTTCGACTACATCGATAACATTTATTTCATGGTATGATTAATAGGAGACGCGAGTGATTGAAAACGGTCAGTAGCTCTACAAATGTTAACAATGATCTCCATTCACTATGTATTTGATTCTATTGACTCCGACTCAAAGTTTTCAGGTACAAAAATAGTAAAAACCTTAATTTTTCACTGAAAAAATAACAATCAGCAACTGGTATACCTAAGGGTAAATCAAAATTAAATTGGTATAATAAAAATATAGTCCTCGAATTATTTTATTTATTGAAACTTATACAACATATTTTTTATGTATACTTATTCAAATAATTCATTAACTTAATAAATAAATAAATAAAATAAATAAATATACACACAGATTTATATATTACGTAAACAAATCATAAATTATCAACTTTAAGAAATTATACCACTCCAGCAGTTTCCTAACATACATTTATAACATATAGTATATGTATATGTCATATACAAATATATATATATATATATTGGAATTCAATACCTATAAACTTAATTAAACTTACAACTATATTTAGAATACATTGAGTAAATAATTGTAATTATGATAAAAATTATGAAATACAACACTTAGCACACGATAGTATGTGCCTAATACTTATAAATACAGACTAATATAATTTCACATTTATATATAACTTATAATATTAAGAATATTAAAAAAATGTCATCAAATCTTAACGTAACTTAAAGTGATATATATACTGTAAAATCATTTTGAAAAGCTAACTTTTATATTGATATTTAATTATAACTCAATTATAGGATCTTGAAAAATGTTTGAGCGTTCATTCATTTAGACAAGGATAACCAATCAACAAAAATTATATAATAAAAATATTTGATTAAATAAAATAGTCGAACATAAACCAACTCCTATTATTCTTTCGACGTTTACATAATCAAATTCCCAGAATTATTACTAATTTAATTATAATAAAACGATAGTGATCTGCTATTTACGTCTTACAGTGTTCACTATGTTACCTTGTTATCTATAGTTATAAAAACTTTAGTCGGCGTATAAATTATTGCGGAAAAATATATGTAAAATATTTCGTATTTTATGCAAGTCAAAATGTCATGGGAAATAAAACTATTGTTTTACGAGATCAAATCTTAGAAAAACGCATTGCTTTTATTCTTACATTTTTTTTACAACGTTCAGCTGGTGTACCCGCATACTCTGTAGGTCACATATACCTGCTTGTACATACGAATAACATATGCTTAATTATTTGATTTTTAAATTGATAAAATATTTTGTAAGATCTCGATCAAGGAATAAAATTGAACAAAAAGATAGAAATTATTATTTATAAATCGTGTAAAAATAAACAATAATACATAAATTATAAATTCACATTAAATAACTAGACGGATCAGATTCAGTCAGTTTGTATGCGTTATCCTTGTATTATGAATTCAGAGATAAAATACACAGTAATTTATGTTTAAAATATGATCATAGAATAATTATACGTAAATAAATAAACTTACAATAAGGGTTCGGATTTTATAACATTTGCTACTTATTATAAGATATAGATAAAGATAGCAGAGTGGGCTATAAATTTGTACTACGAACCAGAATCTTCAATTATGAAATTTTATTTTGCCATTTTTTACATATTTAAAGTATTTACATTTTTAGTGCTACTTTTTTGCTAATATAGATAATTTTATGCTATACCCAAAAATTCCTATATTTTCATTTCTTATTGATAATTATCAATTATAATTGAGAAATAATATGGTATTTACAACAGGTATACATAATTCAAGACGTACATATAAGTTTTTTGACATAAGATTAGTGATTTTAGTTTTTTTTATTAATGTATTACTTCATAAAGTTATATAATAAATTTAATAATATTTTGATTTACATTCAATTACATTTTTTTTTTGTTGCTATTTTTGGTATTTTTAGGGCATATTTATAAAGCATATTTTAAGGATTTTTTGGTCATATTATAGCCCAGCGCTTCCCAAATTTTTTTGACTCTCAACGCCTTTTATGCTTTTATGTTTTTTCAGGGCGCCCTTCATGATGGCGCGGCGCCCTGTATAGAGACATCGCGGTGCACACTTTGGGAACCGCTGTTATAGCCCATATTTCAGTTTTTTTTGTGCTATTAAATCCGAACCTTGCTTATAATATATCAAATGTCTTAACATTTTTAAATGAAGAATGTTTTATTACTATTTTAGTTACACTTTTTATCAAATTAAAGTACAAAAAAGTTAATAACTAAAATTTTAAAAACGTTTAACCCTAAATATGGTAATAAAAATACCTCTAAGACAAAAAATAATAAAATCAAAAAAGTGTTGAGCATTCATTCCAATTCACTCAATTCGAAACAAATAATTATTTATTTACTTCAAATACAAAATTAATTACTGATGGTTATAATAATGAATCATTATGAAATGTGACAATTGAAAAACAAAGTTTCCAATTCACATTTCCAAGTAAACGAAAAATAGCGAAGATCTTATTAAAAATGAATTCGCTAATTTTGTCTTCAATGTTTTTTGAAGTCATAAGTAATTCGAAAATGTCCATTGTTAAGTCTACGTAATGACATTTAATTTCCAAACAGTAGTGGATTTTAATTTTTATTTTATATACATGGCTTTTTAAAATTATTGTTGTGAAATGTAAAAGACGTTTCTTCACTTTTAAATAAAAAAAACCATACATTTTTTTATAATAATTATGTAGCACCTTTGCTCTGCTGAAATTCTACAATTTTTATAAATTGCAGTGATACTTAATACCTTAATCATACGTAAAATATTTTTTAAACTATGTCAACTATTATGAATATAAAATATACTTAAATATTAACATTTTAATATAAACTTAAAATCATTATGATTAACCGAAGTAATTTCTAGGATCTGTAAAAATATCAAAACGGTATAATTAATAGTTTTAAATCTAAACAAAAGCATATTAAAAAAGGGTGAGACTAATTGAGGTGAGAATGCAGATTTAAGTGAATGGTATTATTGAATTGGTTTTTAAACTCGAAACCAATGTACCATCGATCTTAAAAAAAATGATTCTGAGTGAAAAAGCTCGGGTCAATCAGTTAATATTTCTAAAGATAATTGATATGGTCAGTGTCGGCGCTTTGATTTGTGAAGCCCTGTGCAAATTATAAATGCGAGACCCCAGATATGAATATACTGCAAAATAGAAGCGTGAGGTCCTGTGAAATTGCACTTTCTGTACACCCCTCGCACCAGCATTAGATATAGTTTAATAGTTTAAAAAAGCTATTGAAATTTGAAAAAAAGCTCAGAAAACATTACAATTTAAATTTTCTATAAATAGCACCAAATAAAAGTCCTTTAGAAATTATACCAAAATTATCATACTGTGATAAACCATACAGTGAACATTTCATGCTTCTACGATTAATATTTTTTGAGTTACGATAAAAACAAAAATTGATTTTGTATAAAATAGGTCTCCAATAAATGTTTTCCAGTTCTTATAAGTTTTTGCCAGCTTTCACAATTATAAGGAAAAAAGTTTGGAAATTTATAAAATGACTACCATTAAAATACCAACTATAAAATCCTACTTTCTATCAGGAATCTATTGTAGTTGTAATGATTGGAGCAATTCTATTCGAAATCGTGTACAAAGATAAAACAAAACACATATCTTGGTAAAACCAATACATTCCTCGTTATACTCAGAATCTAAAAAAAAAAAAAAAAAAAAATAATTGTTACAAATAGTTATAAACACAACTGTTTTTTATATATTTAAACAGTTAATTTTTCTGTAAATAAATATAAATAAAATACAAATTTATCAAGCTTCTAAAAAGAATGTTGGTAAATTAATAATAAAATCAGCGTTATTTAATGTTGCAGATTTCAAATATAATACTATTTAAATTTTTGCATTAGTTTTACTAGTCAAAATTTTTTCAATATATTTTTATACAATAATGTATAATAATATATTCAAGAATTTTTACACTAGAATACTGTATAACTAAAGTTATTGTACACTTACACACACACACACACACACACACACACACATATGTACATATATATATAAAAATAATTCAACTTATAAATAAAATAAAATAGATGTAAAACAAGAAATTTTTATTTTCAAATTTATTGTACAACAAATATTTTGATTAAATTAACAATAAATTATTATTTAAACAATTATTTAAATTATATTTTTTCTTTGGATTTTATCATCCGTGTTAAATATTTTATATAAATTGTATACTATTTTGAAACTAAAACAATGGATATTATTTAAAATATAAATACGTTTATTTTAAAGTAGTCTGTAAGATGTATCGAAAAACATTTTTTGATAATTATCTGACGTAAAATATAATTTTAATTAATTTAGTATCTCATTGTAAGTCAAATATTTATTGCTTCAAAAATATGATAAAATATAACTTGAAAATTTGAAACATTACATAAACTAACCTTCTAGTTTTTTCAATAAAACTAAA